TTCCCGCATCGGCGAACTCGCCAGCGCGCGCTGGTGGGCGCGCTCCTCCCCCTCCCCCGGGTCGCCGCACGATCTGCCACCGCACCGTGTCGCGTGACCGCCAGTGGTCGGCGCGCTGTTCCGCCTCCTCCCCCGCCTCTCTCCCCCTCCGCCGCCGCTGGATCCGGCGATCCCGGCGGGACGACGTGGCGCGGGCGGTCTGGCTGGAGCCGGAGCGGGTGCGGACCCACGTCCGCCCCCGGGGCTCTCGCCAAACGTGCCCGCACCAACGCCGTGGCATGTCCCATCCAGCCCAGTTCCCCCTCTCTCTTTTTTTGTTCCGCTCGTTCCCCGAATTTGTCGTCCCTCCCCCTCGCTCGGCCTCGCCTCGCGTCCTCGCTCGTCGTGCGTCCCTCTCTCCTCCCCCGTCCTGCCTCTGTGCCCTCAATGGGAGTGGATTAATCATGTTGCGCCTGCCGACGCGCCAGTGGGGGTACAGTGGAGGCCCATGCCAAGAAACACCCTGCTCGCCTCCAGGGAGCCCTGGGTTTCTTGGGTTCCGATGGTTTTGCCATGGAAGTGTGACGTTCCAACACCAAAGTAAAAGGACGTCCTGGAGGTCTCAGGGTTGGGTTTCTTGTGGAAGGTTTCTCGTGGACTGGCCTCCACTGTAGGGCCTGTAGGGCACCTGAACTGACCTGACCACAGATCGGCGGGGCGGAAGGTACATCCGTGTCGAGGGCCAGCCAGTGTTCGCCATCTACCGCCCGGGCCTCCTCGCTCAGAAGCTGGAGCCGATGCTGAAGCTGTGGCGGGCCCTGGCGCTGGGCAGCGGGCTGCCAGGCCGATCCCGTGGGCGCCGCCGGCTGCTGTTGCTGGGGGGACTTGTTGGGAGGTCAGGGAGGGGGAAAGAGGAGGACGAGGAGGAGGATAATCAGAGCAGGGCGAGTAGAGACGACGGTAGTTGGCCTTCGGGGGGCCCCTCGTCGCCAGGGGCGGATGCAGCTCGGAAAACTAAACTTGAGCGTTTGGACCTCGGGAGGGGTCCGGGGACCAATTTGGGGCTGCCGTGGTCTCGACTCGCCATGGTCCAGAAGGGGAAAAAACACACAGACACAATTAATCGCCGACTCCCCAGAAAATATAGGAAAATACGGGAAGTGGGGGGGAAGACAACAAACCAAAACATATAGGAAAATATGGGGAATCCTTTTATTTGTGTGTATTTATTTGTATGTCCCAGGGCCCCTTCAATGGTCCGAGGGGTGAAGTAGGAGGGGCCCCCAGGGGGGGGCGCTTCGAGGGGAGAAGAGGAGATGGCAGCTGGTCGTGTTCGCTGGTCAAGCAGTGGCGAGGCGTCCCAGTTCGTCTTGTAGGCCTACCAAACAATGTTCTGAGAACCTTTTTTGGTCTGCGCGAAGTGTTCTGAGAACATTTCTGGCCGGAGCTATCCTGTTTCAACACATCGGGTTTATGTCCTAAAAACTTTTTTTCGTTTTTGGTACATTTTGGGGTTCTAAGAACCTTTCGTGGTAGGCCTATAGAACCGCCAGGGCGGTCGGTCCCTGCTCAAAGAAGGGGAGATGGCAGCTGCTCGTGTTCGCTTAGTCCTGCCGTCCAGGCAGAGTTGGCCGTTGGTGTCGGTGGGTCATCACCGCGTTGCATCCCTATGTGTTTCCGGAGCCGCCCCGAGCCCGAGGCCCCAGCTTGCTGGCTTGGGCGTGCCCGATCTATTGGGACACCGCGCTTTGAGCTCCCCGAGCAGGAGAAAGGGTGGACGGAGGAAGAGGAAGAGGGGCAGGAGGAGAAGGGGGACGAGGGTGAGGAGGAGGAGGAGGAGGAGGAGGAGGACCAGTGCAAACCCAAGAGTCATCAACGATGTTGGAGTAGACCCTCCTTCCAAGCCTCCTCCTCACAGGCCCCTACAACGGCTCATTTGGAACACTGGCCCTCACAGGCTCCTCACAGGCCCATAGAGGGAGCTGCCTCGTTGGAAGACAACTGTCTTGAAGACCTTGGAGCATGCGAAAACATTGTTCTCGGGATTCCAACGCCACGGATCAACCTGACTGTTGCGTCTTGAACATCCTGAATCGCGCCAGATCGCCATTTTCGCGCCAGATCGCAACACAGCGAATCAACGTAACTGTTGCGCCTGCATAATCCTGAATCCTACGGAAACGCCATTTGTGGTACGCTGATCATGAGAGTCCGTGGGGCTCTTGCAATGTTTAGTTTCGAATGTGCGCGGCGCTAAGTCGAGATTCACATGTTGAAAAGGAACCGCCCTCAATACGTGAAGCTCTTGTGAAGTTTTAAGTGCGCGGCGATAAGTCGAGAGCATCATTTTGAAAACGACTCGCCCTCAAACAATGACAAACTTTTGTTGTTGTTATACTATTCAACAGCGAATATGCGCGGCGCTAAGGCGATAGCCACATTTTGAAAACGACTCGCCCACCATCTGCGAAGCTGTTGAAAAAGTTTTAATCTTGAGAGTCATAGGTGGTGAGGATGCCTC